CTTGCCAAATCGATTAACTCCCTCAATCACACCAAAATTGTAATAATAATAATAATGGTTACAGCATATATCTATGTTTTCTGATGTGTTTTATATGTCATTAAATAAAACCTACATCTACAATAATACATTCTATAATGTTTGTTTGAATTTATATATTAAAAAAGAATTTTGTCACTTTTATCCATTTTTTGTTTTATGGAGTTAATCAATTTAGCAAGTGAGTGGCAAATTTATTTTTGAAATTTGGTTGTTTTTAAAACCACATTATAACTAACAATAAAATTGATATATTTAACTGTTTTAGAAAGTACAAGAAAGATTAATTTTGATTAAATTAAAAGTAGATGGAGTAGGATCTTTACTTAATGTTTCACTTTTATTTCAATGATTATGTTATAAATTTTGTTCTTAAGTATTATCGTTTTACAGTTTACTGTTTTACTTTGTAATAGAATTTTTGGCACTAAAGATTGGTGATCACCCAAAATGCATTTGCTGAATAATTAACAAAAAATTATAGTGGAAAGTTTTGTCAGTTGTTTCGTTTATGTACACACTTGAACACTGGAGAAGGATAGAAGAAAGATTACTGCCAAATCTTTCTTCATAGAAGGCAGTTTACACTTACAGTTAAATGCAATAACTTTGAATTTGGTCCTATATTTAAATAATATGTTGTTTACTGATTTAGTATATTTGTAGCATTAATGATTATTATAATTTATATGCAGGGATCCTATGCATCTGGAAATTCAGGGTTGTTATTTAGTGTTCAGGAAAAGTCAGGGAATTACTTCCTTGCCTGCCTTGATTTTTTTCCTCACAATATGATTAAGTGTAGCCATCTGCAGGAAGCCAGAAGTAATTTGGTAAAGTGCAACTTACAATAAAGGGTGCAGAATATTTTTAGAATCCAAAATTTCTTTCAAGCATATTCAAAATTTCCCAAAAATTATTGCAGCCAAAATAAAACCATAATTTACAAACCAATTAATAATTATTGTTACATAGTTTGGAAAATTTAAGTTAAATCATAATACAGTAGTCTCAAACTCGGCACTCGATAACCCGGCACTCTGGATAACTCGGCCACACCCTGGCAGGGCAAAAAAATCCTTAATTAATTAATTTTCATTATAGACAGCTGTATAAAAGTATAAAAGCTCTCATAAAGTATTTTTCTGAGGTCTGTCTTATCAGGTAAATTACTGTACACAGTGTATTCATTAATTTTCATTTTCATGTAGTAAAGGCTNAATCCTTAGTTAATTAATTTTCATTATAGACAGCTTTATAAAAGTATAAAAGCTCTCATAAAGTATTTTTCTGAGGTCTGTCTTATCAGGTAAATTACTGTACACAGTGTATTCATTAATTTTCATTTTCATGTAGTAAAGGCTTTATGCCTTCATAAAGGATGTACTTTTCCTTTGTTTAAGGGTATTTGGGCAGTTTTTTCTCTGTTGTATTCTCAAGTAAACAATACATACAAGTACAGTGTCGGGATGAAATCGTCTGTCACAAGATTTCCCGCGCTTTTCCATTTTTCGACGAACGACGGTTGTCGCCATAGAAACGGCAATCTGACAACTTTTGGAAACTCAACCGCAGATTGGTTGAAAGACATCGGACCATCAGTGGACGTCTTGTAGTGCTACTAAGCGCTGATTGGTGGAATCCGATTTGCTTCAATCCATATAAAAGGATTGAGTTTAGGCAGGAAGTTTAGTTCGCCTTGGACACATGAAGTGGACTCACGTTTGACTTTTGTTCGTCTCGGACATATCAAGGGAGCTCACAGTCGTTTTAACTTTGCCTAAGCTGACCTAGAAGATTATTTCATTTCGCTCTGCGGTAAATAACTTTAGAAGTATGTCGTCGCAAGGTGTCTTTTCGACAGACCTGTTGTAGTGGATACATATGTTGAACTTTGTTAACATCTGACATTTTGTAATTGTTATTTGTGAAAATTTTTGTAACTGTACATACGTTTACTTTCAATATATATAATAGTTGTTGAATTTAACTGGCGTATGTGAGTTTTGAATTTGACTTACAGTACAGTATTTTCTGAAGAAACACTCATACTTATTTTTTTTTTAACCCCATTCCCGATAACCTGGTATTTTCACAAACTCGGCCACTCTTCGGTCCACATTAAGCCAAGTTTTTGAGGCTCTACTGTATAATTAAATAGGCCTAATATAGGATTTGCCATGTAACAATAAACTGATAAGTTAACATAAATATTTTAGATTAAAAGAATGCTTTAATTTAAGGACTTATCATCATCATAGGCTAGCATTTACAATTGTAAACTTGATGCAATATGTTGATTAATAGAAAAAAAATTGAAGTTAGCACCATGAATTGCTATTTTTATTTTTACCACAAACAATAATTAACAGACTTTCTGAAATTCAAAAATACAAAATTTATTTGACTTCAGAACAAATTTTTTTAAGGCTCAAAAGTTTCAGTTAAGAACAAAAAACTAATATTGATTGTTTATGTGAAGAATTACTTTAAAATGCAACAGGAGAAGAGCATTGCAAAAACCATGGGGGTAAAACTAAGTTCCAAATATAACATACAGCAATATTAATTGTCACTTTGAGATTTTAAAATAGCTGTGTTAATTATAATACTAGATGTATACACTGTCAGATGGTATTAAAATCTTCTTTATAACACAAGTACTTTTAATGATACGAAATGATAATCATCATCAGGCTAATAAATGTTTTGAATTTAGAACAAAATGTGACTACATGCAGTATAACATTCACAATATTTAAATATTCTAAATATTTTAGTTTCACAGCAGAATTCAAGACTTGCAAGTATGAAAAAGAACGAAATTTGAAATAAAAGGCAAACAAAAACAAAAGGTGCAGTGGAACTCTCAAAACATTTTTTTATGGTATGAATCATGTTATAACATGGAGTGACTAGTGGAAGTGAGGAAGGATATTACAAAATGTAGATGCTCCACAAAGCTGACCAGAGAAGTTATGGAGTCCAATTTTAATCCATTGGTGACTCAAACCACCTCCTCAAAGTTGTGCCAATTGTAGAGCATTATTTATTTGAAAAATTTTCCTCACTTCCATCTTGTGCTCATGCAATACACATACAGTTGAACTTCCTAACTTGTGGATGCACTTTTTAAATTTTTCAACTATGATGCCACACTAACCTAGTTGTTCAGTTTTATAATGCACCATGAACTCATTCCATAAAAAATGTTATAAGAATTTTGTTTCATCTTTTGTTTTTGTTTGCCTTTTATTTCAAATTTCATTCTTTTTCATACTTGCGAGCCTTGAATTTTGCCGTGAAATTTAAATGTTTAGAATATTATATATATAATGCTGAGGATGTTATACTGCATGTAGTGACATTCTATTCTAAATTGGAAACATTCATTAGTTTGATGATTGCAATTTTGCATTGTGAAAAAGATTTTAATGCCATCTGACAGTGTTTGCGTATAGTATTATATGTAATTTGTATGGACTTTGAAATACTATTTAACTGCATTTAATTAATCAATCATTTAGTATTAATTAATTAAGAATTTAAGAGAAAAGTCTATAAAACATTTAATAATCTAACATTAATAAAAAAAAATTTTTGAAATATTTTAACTCTCTTTAAATATTTCACAATAAGCATTGGCATACACAATTTGAGGGCAGGTGTTAATGAACTGGTTAAAAAAATTGATAAATAATTTAAATTATTTCATATAATAATATACTATCACTGCACATTGGGTTGTATATAATACAATAAATCTGACTTACGGAACCTGTAACCGATGTGTATCACTTTTTCTTTAAAAAATCAAGGGGTTATGAAAACGTTTGATTTTTGAAAGAAAAAGTGATACACATCGGTTACAGGTTCCGTAAGTCATATTTATTGTATTAAATTATTTCACTTTTCATTTTAATAATTTTGAATGCATAACAAAACAATTTGTTTTTTTCCAGTTTATTAATATTGTATACAGTTCAGGAAATTTATTAAAGGATTAATGCATGTACAAAAATATATATGAAATTTTACAGGATTTGTTAATGAACAATAAATAAATAATGCCTTTTTATTTTTTTTCAAAGTTACATAGATTTATGGTTGTGGATTAATAACATGATAAAGTAGTTTAACATTTTATTTTTAGCCTTATATATTTTTTATAATTGATAAATTATTAACTGTTAATTATAAAAAATAACTAATTAAAAAGTTGGAGAAGCAATAATATATGTGTGTAGTAAGTCAAATGCTGTTTTATTTTGTTCATATGTCATACTGTAAGGGCGCAGTTCTCAGTCCGTGGTCCACAGAACATGGGTTTTTCATGAAGCCACTTCAAGTGTTCCATAAAAATATCAAATATACAATTAATTAAAAATTGTTGCAAAAGAAAAATCAATACAATGTAAAATAATTTTTGTATGGGAACGTAATGAGCAAACACCAGCGATGTCATATACTAGACCGAGTGTGCTGTTGATTTCAAAAATTTTTTCCACTTCTGCTTTCAAACTGATGTATCAATATTATAAATGTCCTGCGAAAAAAATATCAAAGTTTAGTGTTCCCCTACTTCAAAAAGATTGAGAACCATGGCTGTAAGGGACAAGAGGGTTGGGGAATTTGTACAAAGTTGGTCAGGAGACATTAGGGAAAGTCATGGAATTTAAAACAAAAATTTCAGTAGGAACTCTGTATATAGATGTCTTTGGATATTTTTCTTAATGTAAAGTTTTTAAAAAAATCATTATTTCAATTTTATAAGTTCTTCCTTTGCTTGAGGATGACATTTTGAAATGTTAAAAGTACTTGCCTGTATTTAATTCATCAAGTAAATAAATCTAACACAGAATGACAGTACAATTTTTTCCTTATACTGTATTTTGGATTGTATGTGAGTATATAAATTTTTACAGTTATGTTGAAATAGTTTTTAAATTTTAAATATTTAGTGGACGTGGTACTCCAAATGTTAGTGGGCGAGATACGCCGTCATCTCAACTTGAAGGAGAAGAAAGAGAACAGAGGCCTTTGGATCTTCCTGTTGCTACGCAAAAACAAAATCGCGAGGACATTGAAGATAAATTTGGAAGATTTGAAATAAAAGAAATAAACGAAGGTTCGTAATGATTTTTATTTTTAATAATTTTTTTTTAAACTTAGAAAAATTTAATATAAATATTTTAGTCAACAAAGAAGTTTGTTGAGTTTTTGTTTAAAAACGATATGAATATACTGTGTATGTATGTTTAAATCTTGTATATTTAGTGTCTTAGACTTAAGTGTCATTCTTTAAAATCATTGGTATAGGTCATGATTCATCTATTGTGTGATGCACATTCTATTAACCCTTTGCCATTGCCGTCTTGTTTACGTTAATTTTGTAAACTGTCTGAAGGCAATATAGGTCAGTCAGGCGATATTATTTTAAAAAATCACCAAAAATCAAATTATCATTATATTCATATAAAAAAATTATGTACATTTATTAATATCTTTGTTTTAAATACTATATTTTTCAATACATTTTATTAAAAAAATAATATATATCAGAACTGACATTTAAACTTGATAATTTGTAACTTTTTGTCAAAATTAACATTGTTTAGTTACCTAGTTTTCTGCCGGCAACGAGCCAGAAAGAAGTAGAATATTGTTCTGTACAACTCTATATAACACTTATGCATGTACATTCANTCTTAAGTAAATGGATTCATTTTATTAAAAAAATAATATATATCAGAACTGACATTTAAACTTGATAATTTGTAACTTTTTGTCAAAATTAACATTGTTTAGTTACCTAGTTTTCTGCCGGCAACGAGCCAGAAAGAAGTAGAATATTGTTCTGTACAACTCTATATAACACTTATGCATGTACATTTATTTGTTGTGAAATTATTGCACATTATATCAAACATTTATTCGAAATCAAAACTTTATTCTGCTATCAACTAATATACTTTATTCACTTCATATTGAACAAGAATATAAATTTTTGTAATAAACATGATTACCAGTAGTAATACATGTAATATTTGCTGATATTTTAGATAAAAGTAAAAAAATATATAAAATGTCAGAACTGAAAGTCACAACTTGAATATTTATAACACATTGACTTATTATAGCTAAATAAATGTATTATAGCATAAATGAACTTATTATAGTAATATTATTGCATAAATATGCTAAAAATGAAAGAATTATCAGAAAAAATAAATCAAGTAAAAACAGCATTAATTAAAATTTTTTAAGTCAACAAAACACCATCTGGAGAAAAATATGTGAAACAGATGATAGACAAGATGCTGCCATCAAGTGCTGACATCTGTTATTGATAAATTTTACAAAAATCTATTTTTACTAGGGTAACGACAAATTGGTACCCTCGAAGTTTTGCTTAATGATGGGGTACCGATTGATCTGTACTTTTGAAGGTAAAGGGTTAATATATTTTTATATTTTTGTCATATATTAACCCTTTGAAGGCAAAGGGTTAATATATAACAAAAAACTTCTCACAATGTCAACCAAACTCCAGCAATTAAACTGTTGCACAAATGTTTTCATCTACCTTCCAGTAGACATCTTCAGGTGAAATATGATTCTATGATAAAATTCTTAATTTTGAATCACATGTGCCGCTTAGTAGATGTGACACCTGTCTGTTGGTGGATGCATGTGACATTGTAGAATTTGTGTCAGAAGGATCATCATCAGATAGGTGTTGATGAATGTCGAATTTCCAAACTTATGGGAATGACTTGCGTCCTTGTGGTTGGTGGTGTGTTTCTTTATGGAAGCTGTGTAGATTTCATATTTCTCCAAATGTCATAACAATGCTTAACCAGTGTATACAGGAAACCTACCTACCATCCATTTTTCATTCAGGCCCTCTCACATGATCGTTTTCATTACAAAATGGCAGCATTCAACACCTTGATCTGAAGGTTTTTACCCATTGCTTCAATGTTGTTACATCCTACAGCAGGCATTGTTGTATGGGTATACTCAGAAATCTATTACGGGTCTCATTTTCCCACTAGAAAGTCCATCACACATCTGCTCACATTACACCCAATGTAACCAATACAGCTGTTTACTTTAGAGCGGTCATGTACAATAGCGTCTTGGCTCCCATCTAAAAAGAAGTTGCCAACTCTTCTGGCTTTCTGTTGGCATTTAAGCAATGCCACACAATCTTTTCTCTCATTTGTAATGCCAAGGACTCTAAAATGCAGAGTATCTTTCGCATTACTGCTTAGTAATGTGAAAGATACTCCGCAACAAGACATGATGGCTGGAGTATACAGCATCCCAATTAGGGATCGCAGATGCGATGAAGACTTGTTATATATCGGCTCCATGAAGAGATCTTTAGGAGTGAGGATTAAAGAACATAAAGCTGACATCCTCCACAAGAGGCCGACAACCGCCTTAGCACAGTACGCCACGGACCCTGAGATACAACCGTTATTTGATTAAGCCAGGATAATATACATCACACACCAGACACACTATTTGCGTTTGATGGAAGCGATTTATATACACAAAGCAACTCAGGGTAACAATTGTATAAACAGCAAAGATGAAATATCATTATCAGTAGCATGGCAAACCCTGATATATGACACATAACGTGATGAAACGTAGGCTCACAACGGCGCATGCGCAAAGGATGACGACAATTGCACAAATTTCAGAGATGTTCCAGGTTTGGAATTCTTTCAAAAAAGATCGGCCAATCGAATGTTAACTGATTTGCCTGTTTTTCACCTGAAGAAGAATCGAAAGGTTCGAAAACGTTAGTGAAAGAAATTATAGTGAATTAAGCACCGTTTTGGTTTATACTAGAAATAACTCGAATGCTTTTCTGTAGTCTATATATGCCATGTGTATGTTTCTTGTTGTTTGTGTGCTTGCCGTAAAATGACTGAATCTATGAGTAACTGTTCTTTGCATCCCCTGTGATTTCTACGACAACCTTTTTGTTGTTCTGTAAGAATGTCGTGTTCTTCAACATGTTTGTATATTTTGTTTGTGATACAGGATGTCAATAATTTGTAGAGTGTTGGAAGACATGTAATTGGTCTGTATTGTGTGGGGTCTGTGGTTTTGTTGTTTTTAGGTTTCATGTAGGTGATGCCCTGAGTAAGAAATTTTGGCATGTCTTGTGGATTGATGATGATGTGTGTTAGATGTTTAGCTAGTTCCTGGTGCAGTGATGTAAACTTTTTGTACCAGAAATTGTGAATGTTGTCTACACCAGGTGTCTTCCAGTTGTGTGTTCTGTTAACAGCGTAGCGAATGTCGTGTATGTTTATTTCAGCACAGGGCATAGTTGGTATGTTATGCAAGTTTCTGTTCTCCTCCTCGATCCAGCCTGCATCAGCATTGTGTGTAACAGCATTGGACCAAAGAGAAGACCAATAAGTTGTGAGTTCTTCTTCTGTTGGTGTGCCACTGTGCTGTGTATCAGTGTTTGTTTTGGTACTGATTTGTCTGTAGAAAAGTTTTTCATTGTTTGTGAATAATTTATTTTGTTGTTTTCGTAGTGTACATGTTTTGTATCGTTTGAGTCTACGTGCTTTGGCTGCGAGTTTTTGTTTTAGTGTATCGATGTATTCTGTAATGTGTGTGTTGTGATGTTCATGTTTTGTGTGTGTTTTGATTTTCTTGAAAATGTTTTTGAGTTGTTTCTTTAATTTGGGTGTTATGTTGTTTTTAGTGTATTGTGTCAGCCTGCCTAATTGCTGTCTAATGTCATTTATTTGTGTTTCTATTCTTCTCTGCCAGGCAGGCTTGTGATAGAATTGTGTTTTGTGTGTGTCTGTCTGTGAGTGTATTTTCAGTCCATGGTGTGTTACTACTGTGACTGCCCCAGCATAAACTAATGTATGAATGTCTGAGAGTGTAGAAATTGAATGAATGTAGTTTGGTAGTAAGTGAGTGTTTACATAATTTAGTGTTTTTCCTACTACCTTTGACGTGTTGATTTTCGGTATTCGTGGTCTTTGTGTGGGATCTGTACCTGTATATTTAGTGAGTGTTTCCTGAAATATAAGTGAGAGTGTATTAACTAATTCTATGTCTACGTTATCAGTGATGGATGGGGAAGTGCCTGCAGTATCATTAGTGGTACTTGTTGTGTGTGTGCTGTAATCAGTGCTTGTTGCTGGATTATCCTGACAGGTTACGTGATCTTCATTAATGTTAAATGTTTCTGTCTGTTGATGTATTTGATCAGCAACCTGTTGTTTGATAAGTTCAAGTGTTGTTTGTGGGATAAGGTTGTTGTGTATAATTGTTCGTTTTTGATCAACAACCCTTTGTTCGGTGACAGTGAGGTGAGGATATTGTTGTGTGAATATGTGGTGTAGTTGTTGTCTGTATGCTGTCATGTTTGTTTCGAGTCTTGTGATGGTGTAGTAAGTGCGGATGATAAACTCGTTCATTTCTGTTGTCCATTTCATCCGTTGGCGTGGTTTTCCAGCCTTTGTGGTCTGTGGATGCATTGCCACAGAAACACCAAGGCTAGGTTGATTCCTCACATCTGTTGAGGGCATTGCAGTAGCCATGCTTGGGCCGGCGCTGCTTTCGCCACCGGTAACCAAGGGAGACTGGAGCCTATTTTTCGAACGTGAGCCTCTGCCTAACCCACGAACGCGGACCTTGTTAACCCGGGCGACGTCCGAGCCGGTATCATACTTAGATCTGGTTACTACCATAATGATTATCTCCACAGAATGTGGGTGTGTGGTCACTCTTAGCTTCATTTCTCCCCATAGACCTTACTGGCATGGGTGTCCCTACCAGGAGCTTGTGCTCCAGCCTGCATTGCTCTATGGTTCAGTAAAATTACTGGGCTCTCCCACCACGACCAGGTGGTGACCACGGGAGAGTTATTATTATTATTATTATTGCAATATTACAAAGACGTATCTAAAAAAATAATTTTAGAAGTAAAAAAAAAATAATTATACAAGTAAAAAAAAATATTGTTATAGGTGATGAAACTAAATCAATGGTGAGCGACACTTGGAGTACGGATGTTCTTGCAAGTGATTCCGAAACTATTGAACAGTCTGATGCATCCTCTCAAATAGCATTAGAAGTTCAGGTATGTCTGAATTTGTGTATTTATTTACTTAATGGATGGATTATGATATTTTTGTGTAATGTACATGTAACGAATTATTGTATACCCGCATCATGGGCTCTGCCTAGTATGTCTAATTAAATAAATAAATAAATAAATAGTGTATTATTTACTTAATTTTCAATTGAGATATTAAATTTGATATTTATATTATTTTGTGGGGATCTTTGAATATAGTATACAGTATTCTAAATTTTACAGCTTGTTATATAGTAAGTAACACCAACAAACCTTTATAATTAAATCACCACATATATTTTTAATATACTTTGACAAGTGCTTTTGATCTTAATTCATATCTGCTTCAGGTCAAAACATTCTATTTAAAAATTTAGAATGCTTACAGAGCAATTTTTAATTTAAAAATTGCTGGAACAATTAAATATTCGAACAAATACAAAAATTCCTATCTATGTGTTAACAATTAAATATTCAAACAAGTATAAAAAATCATATCTGTGTGTTAATACACGTATTAACAATAGAAATAAAAATAAAAATTAAAAACAACATTAAAATGAAATAAAGTAAAAATTCACATAAAAATTTAATGTTTATATTTGTAACAAATCCCAATGCAAGTAGTTGATTTGTATTTGTTATTAATGTTGTCAGGATCGTGAAGAAACATCCTCCAAGCATGTGAGATATTTGCCTATTTTTTAAAATTTATTCATTTCCCTTTTAGCTTGGCTATACAAATTTGTAGAGTATCCAAAATTTTGATCTGCTTGGTGTGAAAGGTGCTTTTAATGAGGCTGGCCTGTTGTAGTTTAGCTTCCACACCAGTCTCAGTAGCATATATTGCTAGGATGGTGGTCTGCTTTTTATTGTGTGTATTGTATTTATTGTCCACCATCTGTTTTTTAAGAGACCTTTTGGTTGAACCAATGTAGGTACATCAGATGTCTGCAAAATCTGTCATTTCTCACATGTATACTGTATATCCCCAGTGCATTGTAGGTTTTAATGGCGTCTTTGTCATTTTTTAATAACAAATAAACAGACATGTTACATCTATATGTTGTTGCCCATTCTCTATTAGTAGCAATTTCTTTATATAAAGCCTTTAACCCCTGGTCATAATCAATTAGTATATGTTGGTGTGTATGCCCTAAATTTTTACTATTGCCCCTGTTAATATTGGAACCAGTTTGATTACTCATTCTCTTAATATAGTTTTCTGCTAATCTTTGTACCACTGTACTAGGGTAACTATGTGCCACTGCTATTTCTTCAATATGTTGTAATTCTTGTACAATATTCTTGTAATTCTTGTATTGTTCTTGCTATTTCTTCAATACGTTGTATTTCTTCAATATGTTGTAATTCTTGTATTGTTGTAATTCTTGTAATTCTTGTGTCAACGATGTTTGTGCAATGTGTGAATGCTTTTTTTGTGAGGGCTCTAAATGCTGCTATTTTGTATGTATAGGTATTATTTGAAATTGCTGGTATGAATAATGGTAGATACCCTGGTTTATAATAAATTCCCATTTTAAAGTAGATATTCAGGTCTAGGAAGTGGGTGTGTTTGTCACTGCATTGTTTGAGGTTAAGTGTGAGACCGTAAGAGTTATTATAGTTTCTGGATACAAATTCACTGAGTTCAGCATTAATAAGGTTCCTTTAGTATTAACATAAGCACTTTCTTGGACCAACCTCTATACACATCAGCCGCATATTTCAGCTGCATAATTTCATTCTATTCATAATCTGCCTACCAAACCTACGCAGATGTATCTGCAATGATCGGGACAGGCTAACCACTTTAGAAAAGTCAGAGGTTTATGCAATACACCTAGAAAATTCGGCAATGGGAGCTATTACAAGATACGTAGGAGCAACAACAAGAATGCTTGCCTCCCGCCTTGCAGAGCATCAGGATGATGTAGCCAAAGGAAGATGTTCTACAGAGCTTGCTAAAAAAGTTCTGGAGCAAGGCTACAACCTGCTATGGTCCTGAACAGCAATACTTAAATGCTGCAACAATTGAAGGCTTGTGTTTATCTGGGAAGCACTTCTCATGGCTACTACAGAAGCATGCAATGTTCCCACCTTCAGTCTACACGGGATGTGGATTGTTTTGTATTGGCGTCTAAAAAACGAAACGTGCCTATCATCATATCGCCAACGCAGTGACATTTCCACACATGCCCTGCTTGCATCATAAAATTTACAGATTCGAACATATCAAAAACTATTTGCACATTCTTAACGGAATTTCTGGACACCTGGTTTGAATTTTAAAATTCTGTTCTTTTGGAACATTCTGCACGTTCGTTTCGTTAAAATTTGTTCATTTCACCTGAAGATAATGGTCATACACTTGTCGAAAGTGCTTGTGTTAATACTAAAGGAACTTTATTAATGCTGAACTCAGTGAATTTGTATCCAGAAACTATATAAAGCTTGGTGTGAGTTTTTAAATTTAACTTTTAACTTAAGAGTTATTATTTATGCATTGTATCAAGTTGTTGATATCAGGCTTAGATCCTCAAATGATTAAGATGTCAATGATGCACTTGGAACCAAGTTATGGTGTTATACACAAAAATCAAAAAAAAAATGAATGTCTTCAAACCCCTTCTGGGCTCTGCATCAAGTTCTTAATCGTTTTCAGATGGTTATTCAATTATGGAATGACGTTTAAATAAGAGTTTGATTATAATTCTAAGAACAGTTAAGAACCTGATGGGGTTTAAAAAAGTTTGTTTTTTTAATGTTTTTTGTGTATCACACCATAATTTGGTTTTGAGTGCATCATTATCATTAATTCGATGTGGTGAGTAGTGTGAGGGTCAGGATTTAAGAAGGCTGAGATTCGAATAGTTATATTCATTTTGTTCATTTATTTACCATTTTGTTTCAAAAAAGAGCTCCATATAAAAGGCAAGAGCGATGACGACACAAGGGGGAAATTAAGTTCTTTTCTCTATACTGTGAGTGTGTGCCCGTGGATTTACCTGCATCTCGTCGCCACCGTCTTTAATAGACTTTTAACTTCGACTTCGAACTTTGGACTGATTTGAACTTTGAACTTGGAAGGACGAACCTTGGATCAACGTTATAACGACCTAACTAGAGGTATTTATTCTACTCGCAATGATATGTAAGCTCTCTCTCACTATTCTACTATTCCAAACTCGCGGTTAGGATCGCGACTACTTTATACTTTGCCGTTAATTTATGAACCATACGAATTGAAAATCCCGGGAGGGATTTGTATTCCAATTATTAACTATGTATAAATGTATGGAATAAACGGGTATTTTGTTAACGAACAATAGGAGTGCATTTCTTCCTCCATACTGAACCCGAAGTCCTCGATGAGATCGCTCATAATAATTCCCCCATCTATCCACGATAAATTGATAGATTGGTGTCAGATCCTGATAGGTGAAAGAATTTAACGATCCTTTTTCCTAACCCCCTTTTTTTCCCATCCTTTAGACGAGCGAGACCGGACCTCAAGGTCTTGAGTCGAGTAATAGGAAGGATAGGAACATCCTCGTAAACATCCTACCCCCAATTAGTCTCACAGTAGTTATTTATTAAGATGTTATCAATATACTACTTACATGCGACAATCTCCAGGAGGAACAATGATAGAATTTTATGTTCCAAGCTGCTTATCATTAATTCACATAGGTCACGTGATAGGGCCCATAGGTACTTCCCTTTTTTGTAAATAAATTAGGAGTTATATGTAAATAAATTTTGTCAGTATATTGAAAGCAAGAGATGTAACATAGCATGTGGGCTAATTCTAAAATTTGTTGATAGTGTGCAGGGTTTTTAACCTCCTAGAATAACCAATCCCTTAATTAATGCTTAACCCCCGCAGGGGAATTTTGAAAAATCCCTTCTTATTGTGTGTTTTCATGACGTACCCTAACTGTGTACCAAATTTCACCATTAGGCTCTGGAACTTTCTAGAAAAAACTGGAACATTCTCATTGAAGTGTCACACATTTTTGAAGTCAATCACTTTCAAACCCCATATCTCTCACACCTTTATAGCTATCGAGACACAACCACCATAGTGCACGATGGGAGACTTGGGGCTATTACCACACCCAAACACCATTCATGTGCGATGTGTAGTTTTGGCTGCAGATTGATGTATAGATACAAACATGTCCATTTTTATATATAGATATATATGATATAAACAATAGGAAATCAGAGAAGTGGTACTGAAATATCACTGTTTACAGTTCTATGTAACAATTCAATGAGATATTGTGAATTAATTATAACTAATAATTTTTTAAATTTATTTAATTGTTTAAAATATCAAATCATTCATGATATTCTTACATTCCCAAATGTAAAAAAATCTAGCAAATTGTGTAAATTTTTTTGGCTGTTATAAGATTTTATTAAAAATATAACTTTCACTTTATTAATTATTATGAAATAGCAAAAAGTTTGTTTTTGAGGATAGGGATTAGTTTTATAAAAAACTGTAAATGTTGTTAATGAGTAAAATTTTCATTAAATTTGACCCCTCTTGAGATTGGCATGTGACCACTCACTATCTTTTCACTCCCTTGATCTTTAATCACCAAAATTTAATAGCATCAATGATTCTTGTATACAAGCTGGTGTGCCAACTTTTGTTTGTTAATCTTTACCCTAGCCTGATATATTAAAGTAAACACACATTAACAGACATAGATCAGTATAAAATATGACTCACGTTAACCATTATCGGTGTGAATACGATTAACAATTTGAGTGCCATCACTCAAATGTCACCGAGTATTAGTTTTTTGGCATTTTAGGGTTCAGCGATGTCACAAGATTATGATTCCAAAACCCAGATTGTCAAATTTGATGATGATATTTGAGGCTGAATGTTTGCATAGCCTCTTATATGTGACTTACAGAAATTGCATTCATTTTCATACATAACCGATTGATTTCAATTAAACTTTGTCATTACCCATTTATTGTTATGAGGAATTCAAAAATGTAATAAAAATTTGAGGATTTGGGACTTTGTTTTTGAGATACAAGGTCGTAGAGTTAGCACACTCAACAAAGTGATATTGTGAGACAAACTCGCACCACATGTCAAGGTCATTTGCTCATGAGCTATGTTTCTTAGAAAATTGAGTTTAAAAATTTGATGGATAGATTTTGAGAAAACATAGCCAATTCCTATTAATTGCAATGACAAATCCAAAAATATAATAAAAATGGGGGTCTATGACTTTGTCATTGTGATCCCATTGTATCTCTAAAGCAATGTCCATGCTTTCTGACGTGGTTTAGCATGTCTAACGAAACTTAGGAGACAAAAAAATTAGCATTGTGCATGTCTAATGCAAAATGGGGACCATATATGAACAAAACACAATAATAAAGCAATTGGCACAGATTGCTTTGTTCTTGGATTGCCTCTCTGTTTTGACAAGTGCAAAGATCTCTTTTATCGCTTGCTAGTGTATGGATTATCTCTTCTGTGTCCAGCAGGTGCAAGATCACCTTTTTCTTTCCTGCTCTGCCTGAATTCTATTACATTATGACAGTCACTAATGTCCTAGTATATCATTTAGGAATGTAACCCATGTTACATTAAAATAGCCAGGAAAATAACATGAAAATAAAAATATGAGATGATTAAAATTCTTTCCCATCTTATTTATAACAGCCAAGAAAGTAAAAATTTCAGTTAAATTTATTTTTCATCAAAAACAAATTTTCAAGGGAGAAAAGAACTACAGAATTTATAATAAAAATGAAATAAACAAAATCTAATAAACCTTGTATTTACATTGTATTTAGATTATTTGAAGAAAACTGTCTTTTAGTTATATCAAACTTTTTCTCCCAGAACATTTGCAAAATTATATTTTTAGAGTACAGGTACCCCCATATAACATGGGAGTTACATTCCAAAAAATTGCTGTGTTATGCGAATCCGTATTATACGAAACAAAGAACAAGTGCGAAAAGGGGGGTTAGGTTCCAAAAGTTAAACATGTTGTTAAACCCTTATTTAAATCGAATACTTATTTATTATTTAAGTAAATATTTTACCAGAGGATTACTCATTTTATATGATGATTTCAGCACGAGCATCATCAACTGGTAACAGTTTGTGGGTGCGTTCGTTAATAGCAGTCGCTTTGCAACGGGAGTGCGTCGCTGTTTGTAGGAATTTAGGAACGACTGTGAAAGAAAAATGGCGGTGCTCGCACTATCGATAGTATCGTGTGGAGGAATCTATAATTCTAAAATGAGCTTTCAGAGGCAAAAGAAGGGTCCCGATTGTAAAATTTAACCTAAAAAATGAATGCTCTCGCGGAGTTATGCGGAGGTATAAAAGAATGCACCCTTTATTACATTTCGTGTTGTACGAGGGTTTTACCCAATTCCCAAACCATGTTAGAGTGAACCCGTGCTATAAAAGCACCATGTTATACGGGGGATGTTCCCAGTTCTCGAATTGTATTAGAGTGAATCCGTGCTATAGAAGTGCCGTGCTATACGGGGGTTACCTGTATTTGGATTTCACTGACAATTTCACCATTAACTTGGCTTTATTCTTTATCTTCTGTATTCAGAAGATTAACAATACTTTCTACTGAAAAATCTGTGAACAATAGTATTGGTTTTATGAACTGAACTAATTGTTACTTTAATGTTGTATTGAATTTTCCTTTTAATTCAACAATTTTACTAAACTGTTCATTACAGCCACTCTTCTCTTAACAACCTACCTGTTTAAGCGTTAATTGTGCGTCATTAAAGGTTGATTAAAATCGCAATAAAATTTTTTTGCGCAGGTAAGAATTTTTGAAAAGATTTGGAGACTTAAAAAACATTCCAAAAATAAAAAATAAAAATTTTAAAAGTGGCTTTAACTCCCGAGTTTTTCGTAACGCTATGTAAACTTGACGAGTTAACTCGTCAATGGGCATTAAGGGGTGACCACTTAGACTTACAACCAGCTTTCCAGATGGGGGAATTCTCTTTCTTAGCTTGAGTCTTGGAGAATTTTTTTGTAGTTTTAATCTTGTTCTTGCAGTCTGTCAATATTTACTACATGAAGCATTTGCAATCTCCAAAACTACATATTTCATTTATAAATTTGTACTTTATTGTGCATTTAATAGTACAAGATGTTGGCGAAAAGAAAGACCTCGACTTCACCCTGAAGCAAGCCTATTAAGAAGGCTGAAAGTGTTCATCAATGTTTATTAAATGTTTTCTGGAATTTATTATGGTTTCTTTAAGTCTTGTAGAGATAAATTTTCCAATTTATGACTAACTTTTAGTAACATAGGATGGACAATGATTGAATACTTTTACCCTATCAGAAAGTGAGAGCACACACTGATAGGGTAAAAGGATATAAAGATAATATTATTCAAGAAACAACAAACATGGTAATATCAAGAGTTCTCGATAATGTAAGAGAATGAAATATATTGTGGGACAAAGCAAAATTTGTTAGGAGGCCAGAAATCTTATATTAGCACACAATTTGAAGTTGTTTGGAATATATAAACAGTCTATAATAATTGGATAGTTGTCTTAACAAACATCACCAGGAGTCACTGTCAAACATATGGAAGATGTTATATAAACAAACAGTAGTTTCATAGTTTTATAATTAACAAATAGTTCAGATATTTATAAATATAAATAAACATGTAACTGGTATTATTTTTTGTAACATGTATATAAACATTTAAAAACATTTTGAAGATATTGTGTGAATATGTTTAATTAATTTTAAGTGTCATGCATGCATGCATGCATGTTGATTGTTTGAAAGCACATATATTTAATTCAATATCAAATGTTGAACATTTTCTGACAAATTTGTTTGATAGCTATTGTACAATGCATTTATATAATGTATAATATTTATCAAACTCAAAGATAATCCTATTAAAAAGATGAAAAGTACTTGTCTGAACACAGAACAAACATTGGAAAATTAAAGGTTCATTATGTATTTAATATTTTATTTTTGTGAAACATCTTTTGCATTATATTATTTTGAAATATAATACTTACGTGTCATTTGAATTTTAAACACTATAATTTATTTCAAAACTATAAAATACTTAAATTTGTTTAGCCTCCAGGCCTACTAGATGTATCGGAAACTGCCAGTCAAAGTGATGCTTGGAGTATGGATGTATTAACTTCGGATACAGAGAGATTGCAAGACTTAGATACCGATGACACTAGTAGTGTGGCAAGATCGGACGACACGACCAGGTCGGAAATTGAAGGAGAACATTTTTCTGAAATAAATAGACCTGATCTCAGAGAATTGAGTGATGGTACAGAGATTTTGCATGGTAAGAGGTTAAATTTGTAGAAATATTGATTAGAAAATGCAATCAAAGTTTGTTTCAAATTTAACTACAATACAATCACTGATACCTTTAAAAATGTAGTATGATTTTAATTTTTCAAATGTTATGTTTTTTCAAATTTTTGAAATGATCTTTTTTAGGATAGAAAAACAGATTACAAATCAAAAATAAAAATAAAAATAAAACAAAAACCTTATATAGTCATAAATGAAACTATTCCATTCAATGTAAGAGATATAATTACAGTTAAAACTACAGAAAAAAATCCATCCCATGAGGAAGTTGAGAATTTCTTACAAAAAATTTCAAAATATAGTATTTCAATATTTATAAATTATACTGAATAATTTTTTTCTCTATATAAATGGAGACACTGAAAAAACTAAACAATATTGGTAAACTTCAAAATACTCCAACAAAGAAATTAAACGAGTTGGAAATTGATTACGAATATCCAATTCTTTATATTAAATCAATATTCACTCATTTTGGTGATAAAAATTTAGTCGTTCTTAGGGACACTGAATGAAATGAATTTCAAGTTTTTCTACCTGATCGATTTAATAAAAAATTAAAGAATGAGGATTTAGATAAGATGAGTGATTTTAAATTTGTATACAGTGGTATGAGATTGTGGGAATATGTATAAAGCACATATTATTGAGTTTGTTTGACTTTTTTTTTATATTTACAAAAAGTAAGTATAAAAACCAGTAATAAATGACTGACATTTTACAGGTTTTAATTTTGAGGGGGAGAAAAAACATATATATACTTCTATTTACTCATAAATTTTTTTTTATATAAATGGACTCTAGAATAAAGATGGCTATTGATTAGGATAATTTTTCAAAACGAGAGAATTTAACAGAAGATACAATAAGAGAATTGAAAGATGAAGTTAATTGGGATTTGATTTCAATATTTCAAAAGTTATCAGAACGTTTCATAAGAGAATTTAAAGATAGAGTTAATTGGGATTCAGAGTTTCTCAAAGACAAAAATTGTCTGAATTTTTTATTAACAAATTTAAAGAAAGAGTGAACTGGAAAAAATATCAGAACATCAAAGTCTCTCTGAAAATTTTATAAGACAACATGACGATAAGGTTAATTGGAAACTCATCTCTACACATCAAACATTATCTTCGGAATTTATTCTAGGATATGCAAATAAAGTGGATTGGGATGTTATATCTCGATTTCAAAATTTAGATAATGACTTTATTAGAAAAAATGCTCTAAAATTAAATTTAAATTCACTTTTAAGATATCAAACCATATCGGAACAATTACTCGAAGTTTTAGATCAATTAAATGTATGAGACTGGAAAACAGTTGTTAAATATCAAGAATTATCTTAAGATTTTATTATAAAACATAAAAATAAAATTGACTGGTGTGATGTTATTTTAAAGAAAAGGTTCTCCAACGAATTTATTGAGAGTAATTATAAAAATATAGTTGTTTCATTGTTAGCAAGAATTTGTAATAAATAATCCTATATAAATGGAGATTGATATTAGTAATCTTCAGTTGGTATTAATTCACTATGGTGGAGAAAGAAAGGTTTTTTTATATTTGGAAAGATGGAAGCGGGCATTTACTTATCTTTGATTATGTTGATATACCTCATGGTAGATAATACGGTTATTAAAATTATATTGGTAAACTTCAAAATACTCCAACAAAGAAATTGATTATGAATATCCAATCCATAAAGTCAACCCAGTATGGCAATCATAGTTTTTCTACCGGATCAATTTAATAAACATTTGACAGAAAAAGATGTTAATGCACTAAACAATTGAATAGATTTAAAATTTGTGTACAGAGGCATGAGAGGGCTGAAGAAAAGCTCATAATTAGTTTTTTTATATTTACTTTTTTTTACAGATATTTTAACATCTTTCTTATTTTTTGTGGGAAATTTGTTTAACTTTTTAATAGAATTTTTTAGGATGAAATATGTACATGCCATTTTTTTAAGACTAAAATTTCTTAACTTTTTAAATGAATTTTTTAAACATTTATCCTAATTTTTACATTTTTAAATTTTGGGGGGAGAACTCTCATTGTATTACTACTCTTAGATGTAGATGAAATTTGTTTGTCTTTAACATATTTAATTAAAATTTTTAACTGGTCCTATATGAGGGTTTTGAAGTGCTGAAGTGAAATTAATTAAAAAAGGAACAAATCAGAACATCTCAAGCTTTTGGAGATGCTATAAATCTTTAAAACAGAAAAGCAAGGAACATTTATCAATTTTAAAGAAGAAAGACAAATTTCCCATGCATGGCAGGCTCTTTATGATACGTTGTTATAGAAGACTTATTTAAACAAGAAAATAAATTATTACAAAAGGTGTTAATTACGTATAAATACCACTTTATTTGCTAGTGCTTTTGACATATTATAAGGTACAAGATGAAGACTTATTACAGTAACTAAAACTGGAGACACCTGATCAGTTAAAATTTGAATTGATACAAATTTATCAGTTTATTTTATGTTCAAAAATCAAAGCAATTTTATCAATCTGAAGCACACCTTAGGAGTAAATCAAACACATTTGTTTTATCTTAATTTTTTCACATTGGTGTTAATTTTTCCCATTCTGCTGGGAGAAACATAAAGTTAGTGTGTTTGCTATTTTGTTGAATATGTTCTGATGTGGCTAAAATTAAGTCATTCTGTGTTTTCCTTTCCATGATAAGGCCAAGATGGACAAGTCTTTGGAAGACTTCCATTTGCAGTTATTATCGTGGTAAAATAGGGCTATTTAGCCTACAGAACTTTTGACTTGTCCAAGATCTGTGTTTCAGCAGGTACTGGAAGAACAAACAGTGTTAGGTTTTATGATACACACAAAGTGTTACAAAGGAGGGCCACATGCTATGTGTTTAGTAATGTATGTGCTTCTAAACACTTGTCACAGGAGTGAACATTCAAAATGTCCACACAGGCATGTAAACTTGACTCCAAATCGATGGAGATTCATGATATGCCTTACAGAGTGATTTTTGATGAGTTTTTTTCTGGAGCGAACCAGGGATTTAGTATTGTTTTCTTTTTATTCATGAAAGGTATTTAATCATGAAAAGTATCATGATGAAATGTGTTTTTATGAGAACACATCTCTTTAAATGGATGTTTCAAGCTTTTTGATTTGTCTGATGGAAATTGATTGACTGCTCAGACACACAGAGATATGCTATACTTGTTTGTCTCTACCTGTATGTTTATATAAATACACAATTTTAAATTTATTTATTATTATTAAAATTCTGAAATAAAATTTTCAGACTTTTTTTAAACAAATATTTTTGAATTTTTAAAAATAATATTAATATTTTTCTCTATATAAATGGAGACACTGAAAAAACTAAACAATATTGGTAAACTTCAAAATATTCCAACAAAGAAATTAAACGAGTTGGAAATTGATTACGAATATCCAATTCTTTATATTAAATCAATATTCACTCATTTTGGTGATAAAAATTTAGTCGTTCTTAGGGACACTGAATGAAATGAATTTCAAGTTTTTCTACCTGATCGATTTAATAAAAAATTAAAGAATGAGGATTTAGATAAGATGAGTGATTTTAAATTTGTATACAGTGGTATGAGATTGTGGGAATATGTATAAAGCACATATTATTGAGTTTGTTTGACTTTTTTTTTATATTTACAAAAAGTAAGTATAAAAACCAGTAATAAATGACTGACATTTTACAGGTTTTAATTTTGAGGGGGAGAAAAAACATATATATACTTCTATTTACTCATAAATTTTTTTTTATATAAATGGACTCTAGAATAAAGATGGCTATTGATTGGGATAATTTTTCAAAACGAGAGAATTTAACAGAAGATACAATAAGAGAATTGAAAGATGAAGTTAATTGGGATTTGATTTCAATATTTCAAAAGTTATCAGAACGTTTCATAAGAGAATTTAAAGATAGAGTTAATTGGGATTCAGAGTTTCTCAAAGACAAAAATTGTCTGAATTTTTTATTAACAAATTTAAAGAAAGAGTGAACTGGAAAAAATATCAGAACATCAAAGTCTCTCTGAAAATTTTATAAGACAACATGACGATAAGGTTAATTGGAAACTCATCTCTACACATCAAACATTATCTTCGGAATTTATTCTAGGATATGCAAATAAAGTGGATTGGGATGTTATATCTCGATTTCAAAATTTAGATAATGACTTTATTAGAAAAAATGCTCTAAAATTAAATTTAAATTCACTTTTAAGATATCAAACCATATCGGAACAATTACTCGAAGTTTTAGATCAATTAAATGTATGAGACTGGAAAACAGTTGTTAAATATCAAGAATTATCTTAAGATTTTATTATAAAACATAAAAATAAAATTGACTGGTGTGATGTTATTTTAAAGAAAAGGTTCTCCAACGAATTTATTGAGAGTAATTATAAAAATATAGTTGTTTCATTGTTAGCAAGAATTTGTAATAAATAATCCTATATAAATGGAGATTGATATTANCAGGTGTAAAGGTCTAAGATTTGGATTAGTAATTACAGTGGATGATCAGATAACAAACATAATCCGTTCCAAGACTTTGTTCATTATCCGAATTGATCGTTAACCAATTATTGATTTAACATAGGTTTTTATGGGAATTTGATTAATTTGTTCCGGAGACTCCAAAAAATAAAAAATATATATACTTTTTTACTACGTTTATTTATATGTAATAGTAAAAATACATATATTTGCAGTCTTGCCTTTTTACTAATCATGTTTTCTCCATTTGTGGGGGTTAAGGAATCTGTCTAATGTTGCTTGCTTTTCTCTTTTCTTCAGGATTTTTCAGAAGTAATTATTAGTATTGTAATTGTAGAGATCCCCAACCCCATTAACCTCATTCTAGTTTGGATGCCACTTGGATGATCGTTGTTCCGACATCCTCCCACTTCTTCAAAAGATTTTTAGTAGTAGATGTCGACATGGTCCT